TTTTAAATTTAAAACAATTTTTCAGGGAAAATAATTTATTATGGGCAATGAGGTCAAGTATCTTGTGCTCATGACATTTCTGCCAAAAGAAGATATGACTATATTGGACCAATGTAAAGTTATCCAGCTTGATACTTTTATCATTCAATTGAGTTTCTGTAAAATATGTAAGAAGAAAATAAATATAATGTCAGGATCATGCCCAACAATTTGAAGCAGGAGGGAAAATATTGAAAGACAAACCTCTGGATATTTCAGGACATTGAAATTCAGAAAAATTTTAAACAGAATTGGTTAGTCAGACTTTCTGGAATTCAGTTTGGGTACAAAGGTGAATTAGAACAAAGAACAAAGAAAATTACAGTACAGGAACAGGCCCTTCGGCCCTTCAAGCCTGCGCCGACATGCTGCCCATCACAACTAAAACCCCCTACCCTTTCGTGGACCATATCCCTCTATTCCCATCCTGTTCATATATTTGTCAAGATGTCTTTTACAAGTCACTATAGTATCTGCTTCCACTACCTTCCCCAGCAGCGAGTTCCAGGCACCCACCACCCTCTGTAAAAGAAACACTTGCTTTATACGTCGCCTTTAAACCTTGCCCCACGCAACTTAAAGCCATGGCCCCTGGTAACTGACTCTTCCTCCCCTGGGAAAAAGCTTCCGTCGAGTCAGTCCATGCTCTTCTTGTCAACCCCTATCAGGTTGCCCCTCAACCTCCAGTGAGAACAACCCAAGTTTCTCCAACCTCTCCTCAGAGTTCTTTGTGTTTGTTTACTATAAAACAGAACGCACTTGATGTGGGTTATGTAGCCTGTTGAAAAGCTAAGATTCTATGAAAAATATCTAAAAAGTTCCACAGGACTTTCCATTTAAACAAAAACATTGCATTTTTATTACATAGGTACCTGGTACAGTGGTTATAGTGCTCGACCCAAAAGTTGGAAAGTGAGTTTAGAAATGGACGTTTATTTCTGGGCTAGTGATTGGAAGTTGTGGTCTGTTACAAAAACCCATTTGTTGACTGATGACCCCTGGTGAAGAGGGTGTGGTCTAGCCTACATGTGACTCCAGTCACACTAACTCTTCCCACCGCCCCCCTACCAGCTCATTTGTTTATTGGATGGTCACTGTGACCGGGCTATTATGCAGTGACTTTAGAATAATGACCTAGGCATGAACCATAATAGTCTATCCAATGTCACCCAAGCCACAAGAATAAACCTTCAAGTCAAATGCATCACTGATGCAAAAACAAATTGATTATCGTGGAATATTGTAATTTTCTGTCACACTACAAGGAACAAAGTTCAATTAGTAAAAGATAAGCTATTTCTATAATGTATTGAGGATAATTATCTGGTGCAATATGCCTTGAAACTAACTGCAGAACAGATGAGAACATAGTTATTGATGAATAACCAGTCTGAATTATGTAATGATCTCATAGTAAGCAAGCATTGTGCAACTCATAGCAGTATGTGGTTGAAGTTTAAATTTTGACAGGAAGAAGAGAGTCACAAGTTTGAAGTTTTACATTTTAAGTAAAGCAGACATCAAATGGATAGTTAATGAATTGTCCACGATAAACTGGGTTGAACTGTTAATTGTCATAGTTGTACAGCAGACCCTTCGGTCCAACCAGTCCATGCCAAACGTAACATAATCTCAAACTAAACTCGTCTCACCTGCCTGGTCCTGGCCCATATCTGTCCAAACCTTTCCTATTCATGTACTTATCCAAATGTCTTTTAAATTTTGTAATTGTATCCACATCCATCACTTCGTCAGGAAGTTTGTTCCACACATGAACCGCCCTTTTTTTTAAGAAAAAAAGGTCTGTCTTTTTTTAAAATCTCTCTCCTCTCACCTTTTAAAAAAAGTGTCCCCTAGTCTTGAAGTCCCCGATCTGAGGGAAAAGACAACTACCATAACTCCTGTGGTTGGTTCGCTCGCTGAGCTGGTTATTGGTTCATGTGTGAACAAACCACAGCATCCACAACCGGAGCTACAAATGTACTCGAACCTTTTTACCATTGGCTCCATCAATACTTCTCATTATTTTATAAACTTCGATCAGGTCTCCTATCAACTTTCTACGCACCAGTGAAAGAAAAAGTCCCAGCCTATCTTTATAACACAAGTCTTCCATACCCAGCAACATCCTGGTAAATAAAAACCGAAAGAACTGTGGATGCTGTAAATCAGGAACAAAAACAGAAGTTGCTGGAAAAGCTCAGCAGATCTGGCAGCATCTGTGAAGAAAAAATTCAGAGTTAACATTTCAGGTTCGGTGACTCAATGTTAACTCTGATTTTTTTTTTCTTCACAGATACTGCCAGACCTGCTGAGTTTTTCCAGCAACTTCTGTTTCTGTAACATTCTGGTAAATCTTTTCTGAATCCACTGCAGCTTGATAATATAATAGGTTAACCTGTAAGCAAATGATGGGAAGTATTTAAAGAATTAGTTGGCACAGTGTGAAAATGTTGCATACACACCAAAGAAAAAGGTCCAGCTGAATTGTGAACAACCTGGGTGACAAACTAGGTAAGATACAGTGTAAACTTTTTTATAAAAAAAAAAAAAAAAAAAATTTTGAATGAATACAAAAGAAAACTGATTGACCTGACTGGCTCTGAAAGATAATAACAAGAGGTGGAAAGGAGAAGAAACATATATCTTGCAAGGATTATCAAAAGCTAATGGGAAATTCTCCTCAGCATGCTAAAGAGGAATATCCATCTGTGAGAAACTATCGTGGGTGACAATGAAATTGTACATATTTTTTAATTCATCTGGTTATTCTGAGCATCAGCAGATTTACAAGGATGTTGCCAGGTTTGGAGGGTTTGAGGTATAGGGAGAGACCGAATAGGCTGGGGCTATTTTCCCTGGAGCATCGCAGGCTGAGGGGTGACCTTTATAAGAGGTTTATAAAATGATGAGGGACGTGGATAGGGTAACTGCCCAAGGTCTTTTCCCTGGGTTGGTGAGTCCAAAACTAGAACGCATAGGTTCAAAGCGAGAGGGGAAAAGATTTAAAAGGGACCTTAGGAGCAACTTTTTAACACAGCTGATGTATGGAATGAGCTGCCTGAGGAAGTGGTGGAGGCTGGTACAATTACAATATTCAAAAGGCATCTGGATGGGTATATGAATAGGAAGGGTTTACAGGGATATGGGCCAAATGCTGGCAAATGGGACCAGATTAATTTAGGATATCTGGTCGGCATGGATGAGTTGGACAGAAGCGTCTGTTTACATGCTGTAAAGCTCTGACTCCAGGTGGGACCCAGGTCTCCTAATCCAGAGTAGGGATACTGTATCTTGAGTGAACTTGTTTCATGAGCTTTCATAGTTAAAGAGAATAAAATAGCAGTGACCCATGAAAGTGTTTGTTTTTTTTAAAAGGAAAAGGGTTTTTTGGGGTATGGATCATCCAGAATCTATTTAAGTTGTAGAACAAGTTCAAGGGAATAATTTGACGATCTTTGCTTCAGTCTCGTGCTCCTGTTTTTAGTGTATTCAGTTTTGCCTTCTGAATTGTGTAAATTGCAAGTGGAATCTAATGCTGGTGATGCAACTTCCTTTTCAGAAAGATAATGAGGAAAAAACAACAGAAGTGAAGGAGGAGCAGGTTGCTGTTATCCAGAAACTCGAGCTAACAATTGAACAGCTAAGGATCAAAATAGCTGAACTGGAGAAGCATTCTGCTTTGTTAGACCAGGAGAGGACTGTAAAGGACCATGGATCTAGTAGTGATGTAGTCTCAACAATTGCTTCTGATGTTTGCCCTCAAACAGATGTGCAGGCTTTTCTTCTGCACAGCTCTCAAACTTTCTGCGTAGATGCTAAATCTGTACAGACTTCTCCTACTGAAGAACGTACAACATATCAAGTGCCTTTATTTGATAGCCAGTCATCACAACCTCCACTTCCAGGCTGCAGGGTTTCTTCATCTCAGGATCGTTCTGTACCTGCAGCTCCCTCATCGCCAAAACCCCCAACATATCTGTGCAGTACTCTGTCACAACAGTCGGTGCCTCCTTCAAGTGAAACGTCCCTTTCAGTGTCTACTGCACCGGATCAAAGCAGCCCAGTGTTTTCACAGCAGTTTATACCCAATCAACGCTCTTCGCCTCTATCTGACATTGAAGCTCTGCCTCTAGCAGCAACTGATGGCTCGAATCTGCCCTCATTGTCCAGTTCAGAGCTTCCACCTTCGCCACCACAACCTGAAACCAAAACCCCGCCCCCCCCCCCCCTGCCCGGGTCTGCGCTACCCACCCCCCCGCCCCCCCCCCCCCTGCCAGGGTCTGCGCTACCCACTCCCCCTCCTCCGCCCCCTCTGCCTGGGTCCGCGCTACCCACTCCCCCTCCTCCTCCTCCGCCCCCTCTGCCTGGGTCCGCGCTACCCACTCCCCCTCCTCCGCCCCCTCTGCCTGGGTCCGCGCTACCCACTCCCCCTCCTCCGCCCCCTCTGCCTGGGTCCGCGCTACCCACTCCCCC